TGCACTCCTCAAACTTTAGTCCACAGCGGACACACAGAGAAATTGACTTTCTTGTATAATCTTGCATGAGTCAGTGTATTTGTCAGCACAAGTCTCTACACCGTAAAAGAAGAAGTGCGAAGGTGTTTAGCTCAATCAGAGAGGAGACAGCCTAATTCACCTTCATCCTGTTTCCTGAGTCCTCCTCATGCCTCTCCTGTTACATGCTGAAGCACTGAACACAGCGAAGTCAGGGTTTGTTGTTGTAGCAGAGTGCCCTCTGGTGTTGGCACGTTTCCCTAAGTTTTGGCTGCTACATCATGTCAATTTTTATCTGAATTGTTCATCATTAAAAGAACAACACAGACATTTTTTATGCAAATAGTTGAAGTAGAAACCTGAAGCAGTATTAAAAGGGGGAAAAAATCGTTTCCATGTCTCCTCTAGAGAAGTCAGAAGATAAAGCAGAAGATAAACTATAGTTTGGTCCCTAAGTTTTTGGATAGTGACACAGATTTGGTTTTTTTGTTTGTTTGTTTTTAATTTTGTCTATGCACACCACTGCAGGGGATTTTAAATCAAAGAATCAGTATTTGAAGCACAGGCTTCCAGCTTTAATTCAAGGTATTTGACAAAAGTAAAGCATTCATTGTTCAGGAATTATAGTCTTTTTTAAATGTATTTTTTATAAATAGTCCCCCATTTTCTCAAAATGTTCAGAATTAATTGAACAAACTAGCAGAATTGTAATTGTTTTTATTACGTGGATGAAAATCCTTTGCAGTTAATGATGTTCTGCTGAAGGTGCTGCTTGTTTGTGAGTCTCTCTGCCTCCAGTTTTGCATTTATTGAAAAAAGCTACACTGCTGGATTGTGATCAGCTATCTGACTTGGCCATTCAAGAATATGCCCAACTTCTTTACGTTTCTTTAGCAGTATGCTTTGGGTCATTATTCAGTAGCACTGCGAAGCACTCAGCATTAGCCTGAATCTGTAGACTTCAGATGTGATGATGTGACTGCTGCTATATATCATCATCATCATCATCAAATAAGCGCTAGTAGCCTGGTTCCCTGCAGCCATGCATGCCGATGCCACAACGCTATGTCGATCATGTTTGACAGATCTCTGGCTTCAGATGAGCCGTTTCCCTCCTCCATCGATTTCTTTTCTCATCATTCTGGTACACATTTATCTTAGTTTCATCGCTCTGAAGAACAGAACCGTGCAGGTTCCTGCAGATATTTTCTGTCAAAGTCTAATCTACAGGGTGGGCCATTTATATGGATACACCGTAATAAAATGGGAATGGTTGGTGATATTAAAGTCCTGTTTGTGGCACATTAGTATATGTGAGGGGGCAAACACCTCAAGATGGGTGGTGACCATGGTGGCCATTTAGAAGTCGGCCATCTTGGATACAACTTTTGTTTTTTCAATAGGAAGAGGGCCATGTGACACATCAAACTTATTGGTAATGTCACAAGAAAAACAATGGTGTGCTTGGTTTCAACGTAACTTTATTCTTTCATGAGTTATTTACAAGTTTCTCTTTGTTCGCAGCCATTGACATGTTGAAGAGGTTAACACGTGAGGAGCGGATCGAAATTGTGTTGATATCTGGTGAACGCAGTAACCGGGTCATTGCAGCAGATTTCAATGCAAGACACCCTACGAGTTCACCCATCTGTGAACAAAGAGAAACTTGTAAATAACTCATGAAACCAACCATTCCCATTTTATTACAGTGTATCCATATAAATGGCCCACCCTGTAATCTGTCCTCCTTGTTCTTGAGTGTAACCAGTGGTTTGCACCTTGTTGTAAACCGTCTATATTTCCATACATGAAGGTGTCTCTTGATTGTAGATCTAAAAAAAAAAAGATACACCTGGACTTGGATGGACGTTATGAAGGTGTTCTTCTTAAAGACGGAAATAATCCTGTCATCATCCACTTTAGCAGTCTACTGTGGTCTTTCAGATCTTTTGATATTGCTGAGCTGGCCGGTGCATTCCTTCTTTTCAGGAATGTGATTGATGATTTGGCAACTCTTAAAGTTTTTCCACATTTTTTTCAGCCGGAAAATGTCATTCTTCACTTTTCACTGACAAGATCAACACTTGGATTTAACTTCAGCTCATTTATCTGCTTCATTTGTTATGAAACAACCAGGGAACCTGAACACGAAGTGGCCTGTCAGTTAATTATCCAATTATTTCTGAGCCACTGAAAATGTCTGTAACACCTAAACAGTTGATGGAAAACTTTTGCTCAGTCACTTGAATTAAAGCTTAAAGTCTGCACTTAAATCACATGATGATTGTTTGATTTAAATAGTCTGTAGTCGTGTACAAAGGCAAAAAAAAGGCCTCACTGTCCTCAAACGTATGGACTGAACTGTAGATGTCTCAATAAAGTGCAGAGACAAGAGAAGACACACAAAATTGGAGTAAATTAAGATTAATTTGAAAGTTATTCCTCTAAAACTTTCATTTGGATTTTTTTTAATCACTGAAACGCCAAAACTAACTAAAGAGAGCATGCCAGAACAATTTGAGACCTATTGGTCTAAAGCGGCTCTACCATTTGCGAAACTGGTCCTAAGTTGTTTTGGGTTTCCTTTTTTTTTTTTTTAAAGGTTTGAGAAATGTGCTGTCTCATGTGTCTGGACAGGAAAACCCGATAACCTTTTCTGAGCAGGATACATGCCTGTTAAATATGAAGATATTGCCAGAGGACCAAGTCAGTTTTGTTTCTAAAGCAGAGGTGTCAAGTGTACAGCCTGCAGGCCAGAACCAGCGGGGGTGGGGGGGGGGGCATGAACATGAATGACTTTGACACCACTAATATAAAAGAAACTAGAACCTATCGTCAGTTATCTCTAAGCCTCACTAATAACACCTTACATTTTTTTTGTTTAGCCAATGCGTACAAAAGAAGATTCTTCTGTAGAATCACAGACTTTAAGAGCCAGGTTTTAGTTTTTGCAGGGACTTGTTGCCAGACAACCAGATGAAAGTCAAACAAGTCACCAACAACAGAAACAGGTAACACGGGAACAACTTCAGCTGTCAGAGAGATTTAGTGGGGCTGAATGGTACTTCTTTGGTACTTTTTGAAAGAGCAAAGGTACCTATTCCAGTCTGTGCAAAGTTAATGTTCAACTTAAAGGACAGAAACGAGAGTGGAAATAATTTCTGTGCCTGTTTTTAAGTAAAAGCACAAATTTAAACAGAATAAAATTTGATTATTTTCAAAATTCCTGCATTGAAAATGTAGTCAGTAAAAATATATAAAGTAAAAGCATTTACTATAAAAAGAGGTCTTATTACTCATAAATAAGTATTACAAGAAGACACTCATTGGACATTTTATTAAAAACACCTTGCTACTACAGGGTTCAATGCTTTTGAAATTTTTAATTGAACAAGGTGGTGGAAACATTCCTCTGAGGTTTTGGTCCGTATTGATATCATAGCATCACACGGGTGCTGCGGATTTGCTTTCGGCACATCCATGATGTGAATCTGTTGTTCCACAAAATCCCAGAGATGGATTGAGATCTGTTGACAGTGGAGGCCATACAGTGAACTCATTGTCACGTTCAACAAAGCAGTTTGAGATGATTTGAGCTTGTGACATGATGCTTTATCCTGCTTGAAGCAGCCATCAGAAGATGGGTACAGTGTGTCAGAAACAATACTCAGGTACGCTTTGGTGCTTAAATGATACTCAGATGATGCAAAGTGACCCAAAATGTGCCAAAAGATATCCCTCACACTTACCTTCACCACCAGCCTGAGCCACTGATACCAGGCAGGATGGATGCAACCTATCATGTTATTAACACCAAATTCTGACCCTACCATCTGATCAGATCAGGCAACATTTTACCAATCTTTTATTGTCCAATTTTGGGGAACCTGTGTGATGATAGCCTCAGTTTCCTGTTCTTAGCTGACAGGATTGGAACCACGTGTGGTCTTCTGCTATTGTAGCCCATCTGCTTTAAGGTTCAAGAAGAGATGCTCTTCTGCACACCTTGGTTGTAATGTTCTTTGAGTGTTCCCAAGAGGCTGAAGCAGTCTGGCCATTCTCCTCGGACCATTTTTTATATTTTCTCTTTTATGGAGAAATACTTATGGTTAAGTGGGAAAATCCCAGCATATCTGCAGCTTCTGAAATTGTCAGACCAGCCTGTCTGGCATCAACAACGCCAGCATGTTCACCCAGATCTCTCTTCCCCATTCTTCAGTTGGTTGTTAAGACCATGTCCACAAGCCTAAATGCATAGAGTTGCTGCCAGTTGACTGGTGATTGGTGTTAATGAGCAGTTGAACAGGTGTCCCTAGTGAAGTGGATAGTAAGTAAGCAGCTAACAGGTCACAGAAAGCAGAAACATGGCAAAGAAACTGAAATCACAGATTTAATGCTTCACGCTGCTTTTATAAAGTGATCATTTGTTCTATTTCAATGCGCAATTGTGATTGTTAACTTCCGAATAACTTGAATAATAAGTATTCAAGTTCACATACTTCAGCTTCAGTTGAATCCTTTGGAACAAACCTACAAAGAAAACCAAAAGAATTCCCGGTGTGCCCTGCAGTCACTCAGCATTTATTTATATGCAGCTTTAAACAAGCATTATGTGATGGAGCATCAGCAGACTCATATTAATTCATCCCGTTCATAACTTTCAAAACAGTGTTTGCGCCTGTATTAGTCTTATTTATACTGGAGTGGCTTGTTTTGTAACCCACTGTGTAATGACAAATAGTGGCAGATCCCAAAGCTCTGAATAGTAAGGAGAGGCCTTCCAGCCATCTGTTCCAGTCGAGGTTTTTAGTGTCTTTCTACCAAGCACGCCTCAACCTGCCTCCTCAACAGCTATCAGCAGTTTCCACATATTACTCCTCACATGTGAATAGCTGCACGCAAATGTGCATTTGTGCTCTATTCAAGCCAGTGTTAACAGCCAAGCCAGCTGTAATCTGATGACTGTGTTGCAAACGGCGACCAATCAGGTTCCACTTTCTCTCCCCATTTGTTTGGCGTTAAATGAGTGTTTCATCACCAGAGGTAGACGTGTCTCTTGTGTTTGCCGCTATGTTTGATGAAAGTACAGATTTGATACACAGCTCCAGCAGAGTCTCAATAGTCCTGACGAGAACAACGTTCACGCTTAGGTTGAGAGGCAGCGCAAATATGGAGAGCACACATACCAACCCTATCATTACATTCACCCCGAGGCTGGGAAAACCCCACTGTCGCCACCCACACCAGCTCCTGCACTGTGAGTCCACGTTTTCCTCTGTGATAAATGCCACAGATACATCTCTCCTTGCCATTTCTTGCTCCTGACTTCCCTTCTTTCCAGACAAACACATTGGGGAAATAAGGACAAAGTCTCCATGGTTGCATGTCAACATCTGCCAGCTGTTCCAGGCTGTATGAACAGTACAGCTGCTCTCTGTTTTCTCTGGGTCAACATGCTGTGCTGGCTCAGACACCAACATCCCTGGTTTTACAGGCTTGAGGGGTGCGGACGACTCTGGAATGAGTTCTTGGCAGTGACAGTCGCCTTTATTGAAGACTCTGAACATCAGCGAATGGCCTTGGCGTCTCCTTTGAAGGCCTGTGCTGCTCGTGGTCAGCAGGAGCAGAAGGAGGAAGAAGCCCATGGACCAGCAGAGATTTATGCCGCTAGGAATGGGGCTGAAGAGGCTGGGCAGACATCTGACAAGGGAGCTATTTGTGTGGAGACAGGCAGCAGCCCACACTTCCTCCAGCTTCCATTGCCCCCTGACATTGAGGGCGACAATGACCCACACTGACAGGCAGCAGAGGTAGCCGACAACATGAGACCGTATGTCTTCATCTGAGCCGCTGCTGTCTTCCTCTTCCTCCTCTTTCCCATCACAACACTGTCCATCAGAGCCTGCTGTCCGCCTTGCTGTCCTGAGAGGGACGACAACACAAGGCCAGAGGAGTCTGATCACAGTCTCCACAGCGATCAGAGGTGCGGTCAGCAGCAGCACCGCTCCATAGGTTTGGCTGAGAAAGAGCAGGAAGCGCAGGGCAATAAAATCCCCTGATGGAGTCAAGTCAGTCAGCCAAGAGTCAAAGATGCAAAGGCAACTCAGAAAAGCTGCAGAAACACAAAACACAAAGAAAAAGTGTCAGAGTCAGTGGGTTAGATGACTGGATAAGACCAGGTAATTAGATATCACAAAGAAGAGAAAGGGTTGGTTTAATGAAGTAACTTAAAATAAATATTCTGCCATTTTATTAAAGACAAAGCTCTGAAAAACACTTCATCCTAATATAGGTGTAAGGTAACTCAGCCCGCAAATCATTTTTTATCCGAACACACCCCTCCATACAAACACAGTTTGACCGATTGAAGTATGAATAACTCTGGTAACTGTGTAGGAGTTCATGTGTCTTGCCTCCTAAACCACTGCCCCAGCCAAAACCAAAAGGAGTGGTGAAATTTACATAAGGTCTGTTTTATTTATCTTTATTTTAGCAAACAATAGCATTTGCATCTCTTATCATGTAAATAAAAAGGCGTCTGGCAGCGAGTGGAACTAGTTCCAGGATCACTACATCTCACATAACAGCAACTTGCACATATTTATTATTCTAGAATCTGTCATTTGTTTTCTTGTTCTATCAGAAAACTGTGAAAATGTTCATCCGAAGTTCCAAAAGTAAAGTAACAACAACAACCCAAACTCAAAGATTACAATAATTATTTAATCTGTAGCTCTCAGATGAAGATACAAGTTCATTTCCTTTTCCATTTTACCTACAGTGAACATGAAAAACACTTTTATATCTTTTTTAAATTCATACTTCTTTATTCTTCTCAAGTTTGTTTGGTAGATATTGCTGCTTTGATGTCTATTCACCTTATTAATATAAACATTTATTATAGATGAGGTTATTATAAATTAGATTAAACAGGCTCCCAATTAATTTACCAGGCATTTTGGTTCTTAAAGCTGATTAGACCGACTCAGGTCGGAGTTGTGAAACCACTGCTCGTATTTACCCGAGATCTCTTTGTACTAAAAAGAATGAGTTGTAACATGTCTCTGTTAAGAAACACCAGCTGCATTTCTTAATAGATACAGAGTTTCTTTTTTCCATGTTCAATAAAAGCAAATTATAGACAATAAAAGTACAAAAGTCATCACCTGTCAGAGTTTAGACCTCTTGCAGAAGGATATAAGGCAGGTTTTCAGATTTGATTGGACCATGGATTTTGAAATATTTTTGAAATATGGGAAAACACAGTATTTATGAAGTGCTGTTAATCTATGAATTGAGACCCCGCTGAAACATTTAGGAGGATATATACTCATTGACTTTGTCAAGTGTTACATGACTTTAAGATTTAAAAAGTTCAACAGTAAACAAATGTATTGAAAGTAAGTTTAAAGCAAACCTTTCCAACTTTTGTTTCATTTTTTGTGATGTAGAAAAACAGTAACTTCTCATGGCTCCTGCTGACTCCAGCATTTTGAAGCGTAGGGAGGGCAAAACATGCTTTGCTTCAAAATGCTCCTTCAGTCCTCACACTCTAACAGTTTAATCAGAAACCTCACAGAAATGTTTTCCTCCATCGACAGAGGCACACATCCACAGTCCGCAGATTCAACAGCAAATGCTGCTGAAGCCTGAGCATTAATCACATCCTCAGCCAGCAGATCCCAGGCAGAGCAGCTGCAGCTGTGATCAAAGCCTGTGGCTACATACTGCCACATCTCAGCCACTGGCAATAAATAAAACGTGTGACGTTTCACAGCATCTCCTTTCTGTTGTGTCTGCAGTGCATTTATTACAGAGAGTGTACTGGATCAACAAATTCACTATTTCTGTAAGGCCATCGAGGCATCATTATTCTATTTGATTCATTATTTGCTGCACCTATAGCCACACCCAGCAGTGATGTCACCATTGCATGGTGAGTGCTTAAGCCACTGGAGGTCAGTAAAACCAAGATTCTGCTGTGAGGTAAGGTTAATCTTAAAAAATAAAAAAATTTTGGAAACTTGAACATACAGGTTGTTGGAAACACCTTCTGATATTTTAAACTAATTCAAGTGATTCAGTTTGTATAAGAGGGCTGTGGGGGAACTGGAAACACTGGTTAGAATCCTGCAGTGTCCTAATCAAGCCCTCACCTGTGACCAGGAAGTCTGTGAAGACGAGGAGGCAGCAGCAGCAGAAACTGACAGCACTGTAGGAGTCGGCCAATGAGGGCAGGAAGAGTAGACTGCAGGCCAGTTTACATGCACACAACACAGCCGCGCCTTCCAACACACCATCCATGGCTGAAAAAAAACAGGGTTGACATATTAAAATGGCTTCTTGTCTCAGGGTGGAAGAATTCAGGGATGACAAATACAAACATTTCTGGAACATCTTGCAAAGTCAAATCTATGTTTTACATGGTCATTCTGGTCATTCAACTGCCAGCATGCTTCACAGTCAATATTTAGTTGTTTACATTAACACTGAACCCTGGAACTGAAGGCTGTTTGCAAATGACCGAAAAGAAAATTCTAGGAATAGGTTCATGTCATGTCGGGTAAATATCAATTCTATTTACATTTTTTCCAAAATTATGTCTTCCAAAGGCAAGATAAGAAATAAATAGTAATAAATGCAGTTCACATTCAGTAATGGGAACTGGTGCAAATGTACAGTAAACTTTGCTGTGACCTGACTGCCAGCATGTCCACTTCCTGGCAATGAAACTGGTTTAACCTGTGTAAACACTCCCGCCACCTCTACCACACGGCTACAGGTGGAAATCTACACTACAAGCACCAGATAGTATCAATCTACCACGAAGTTCATTCGTTCTTACCTGTGCACACAGGAGCCTACAGAGCCACATGTCAATATGAGCTTCAAATGCTTCATCCGCTTTCTTCGCCTCCCCTTTTGCTCCACCCTCAAAGGGGATAATGACCCTCCTCCTTCCTCCCCTTTGCCTCCCCCACCCCTCTCTGTGATCCCTGCACCTGGACAGTGGAGGTGAGAGAACTGCGAGGGTGTGGCGTTGTTTGTTCTGACGAGAAAACCTGTCGAACGAGTACGGAACCAGCAGGGTGTGATGCAAAGTGGGTGTATGTTTGCTTGTAAAGAAAACATTTCTGTGTCTTGAGCCTGTACATACTGCACTTTTGGTAGTTCAAAGGGTACTTTAAATGCATACATGATGCATGCAGTCTTATAAAGCTGGATTAAACTATAGGTCACTGAAAATAGAAATACAATTTGTTATTTATTAGCTTCTCAATGCTATATTTTAATCACTTGATCCTAGTTAGGCATCACAAGTGATTAGTTATTATACTGGTTTCCAGTAATGCTCTGTTTGTAGAGATATATTGGTCCTCTGTATCCAATAGATAGATAAATAATGGGTATGCAGGGTCTATAAAATACTTGTGGTGAAAACTGCCTGATTACTTCTGCTCTTTTATATTGAGAAATGAAGTGTAAATAAAGTGCATCTTCATAGGATTTTATGCCCTACGCTTAGCTTTTAAAGCACATCAAGAGTAATAAATTAAAACACAGCACAGTTATCTTTAATTATATAGAAAGCAACTCACTGAAGCAGGCAGTGTGTTGATAATTTCTCATCAGCTACTGCATCTTTATCTTTAAAACCAATGAGGTCATTTTATAAACAAGCCTAAATGTTCTTGACAGGAATCCCTAACACAGCAACGTCACTGTGATATCCTTAGCAAAAACAGAACCTTTACTTTTCAGAAGGTCATCTTGTTTAAAAATGCTGCACCACCAAAAAGATTTGTGCAACTTTGTTCTGAGCAGATAAGCTTCAAATGCTCAGGTTGAGAGTGGATTTTTCCCCACAGAAGCTGTGCTTTTGCATGATCCTCCTGCATTTCAGCCCCTTAAGGAACAGAGCAAGCTCCCAGACAGTTGAAAACATGTGCAGACTAATTTTTTTCCCCCAGTCAATCAGTCAAATGGCAGCAACTCTATGCATTTAAACCGACTGAAGAATGGGGATGAAAGATCTGGTTAACTTTGAACGTGCTGGGTTTGAATTTAACCCTTAATCAGACGAGGACTCATATATATATATATATATAT